CAATGCTACTTTTATATTTTTAAATATCCCCTGCAACAACATTCTACCATGCTGAACTGCTTGCCTGCACTGTTCAAATTAACAGTTATTATTCTTGATAGTGTTCTGGCTGCAAAACTGTTCAAGTTTTGAATAGCCTACCATATCCTATTTTACTAAGCCCCTTATGCTTAGTGTGCAATTTGAAGAACAGAGGGTTATCAAGAGTACAAATGTTATATTTGCCCAGAGTTCCAAACACCTCTTGAGTATTTCCTCAACCAACGTAAACACCCAAAATCTAGGTTTCTTATCTCTGTTGGTGGCCAAGAATTAAGTCATTGGAGGCACACATTTCTCTCTCCCTCTCTTTCATATACTCAATCATTCCATATATTCTCTCAGTTTTCCTTACAAACCAACCTTCTCACTACCACCTGCCATAACTCAAAGCTCCAGCATTTGTCATCTGGATGAATTTAATAGGCTTCAAGATGATCATTCATTTTCCAGGCTCACATCATTCTACACCAAACTCTGCTAATATTTCAAGAACTACTTTCATAAAACTACAAATCTAATGTGCCATTTCTCTCTTCAAAGATCTTCAATGGCATTCTCCTGGACATTCAAGGCCTCAAACCACTATCTTTCATCTCACACTGAACCCTCACTTCGCTTTATGCTCTGCAGAGGTAAACCATGCAAACTACTGCACACATTACTGGCAAAGACAGACACTCAATATGTATTAGTTATTACTGCCACAGATTACCTGCTATTACAGTGAGTACTAAGAATGTCATCTCCCTATCCTTGATTTTAATTATTTGAGCTCCTTCTTTTTGTATTATTATTATTGTATTATTATTATTATTTGACAAGGGTCAAATCTTGGTTTTGCCACTTACTAGCTGAGACTTTGAGCAAGTTATTTAGCTTTCTGAGCCTCAATAAAATTAGGATAATATCCATGTTGTTGAACAATCATGGGGTTGTTCAAAGGACTAAATGACATAGCATATGTAGAATGCCTGGAAGACAAGAGATATCGATAAATGTTAGTTTTCTTAAGGTGTTCACTTAAAAAAATAAACACATAATTAATTGTTTCCCTTCCTTCTCCCACACCTAAGCAAAGAGAAGGGAGTCCTCAAAAAAGCTGATTTGACCATAAAACCTATCTGTATCCCTCTTAAACAAATGCATAATTTCAAAAACAAAAGATTTAAAATTTTTTTCTATGTAACTAAGCAAAGAAAGAGTTATTGATACAGAGCCATACATTACCAGATGATTTACACTGACTAATGTAAATTATAATATCAAATTTACTGAACCAAACATATGCCTAGTCCATATACAGAACTTGTATATACAGAACTAGTAGTTATTTATTCAGTCTTAAAGTTAATTACTACAAACAGATAAATACAAGCAAAAATATGGAGGATTTTCAGGATCGACACATAATAAATTCTATATAAAATGGGCCTACCAGCATATATGAGTACTAAAAATCCATATATACTGGGGCCAGCAAATGGTGTAGTGGTTACGTCACTAGACTCCCACATGGCCAACCGCAGTTAGAGTCCTAGACCTGGCAGCTTCAAAATCACACAGGGCGCATGTGCGTACATGTCCAGATCCCAGGAGGAAAATGGATTACAGTATGGCCATCGCCCGAGGGGTATTTTCTCACTTTTCCTCTCATTCTCTCTCTCTCTCTCTCTCTCTCTGGCAAGTGCATGCATCTAAACGCAAAAGCCACTCTAAAAAAAAATCCAATATACTAAAAATTCTTATAGATTTAAGAATTGGTCTGATTTGATTCATACTACAGGCTTTCACATTATAGCATTATAAGTGTTTATTTAAATGAGAAAACAAGGATTAGCCAGGGAATGAAGGGAAGAAGGAATGGTACTAAGACATTCCAAGTTAATCTTTCACATTTTACTTCTTTTTCCACACTCTGACTGGTTTTGCCTGATTGCTTTTCCTATTTCATGTTTAAAAAAAAAAAAAAGAATTATAGAAAAGAATAGTTCTTTCAATAAATTGGGCTAGGACAACAGGACCAATCGTAAAAAAATGAAATTAGCGTTATGGCTATGTCGCTGGACTCCCACATAGTCGACCGTGGTTCAAGTCCTGGACCCGGTGGCTTAAAACTCACGCCGGGTGTGTGTGGGTGCATGCCCAAGATCCCGAGAGGAGAACGGAGGAGAAGGGATTGCGGCGTGGCCATCCCCCCTGGGGGGTGATTTCTCGCTTTCTATCTCTCTGTCTCTCTCTGTCTGTCTGGCGAGCGCACGTGCCCTATACCAAAAACCTCTCCAAAAAAAAAAAAAAACTATGCATGAGTTTCATTTTTTTTAACAAAACAAACTTGTACTTTAATTCTGTTTTTCCACAAACCTTGGGAAGGCCCCTCATATACAAAAACTCTTGGGACCAGCAGGTGACGTGGTGGTTGAAGCGCGGGATACTCCCACATGGCTGAGCATGGTTTGAGTCCTGGACCTGGTAGCTTACTAACTTGCTTGCTCTCTCTCTCTCTCTCTCTCTCTGTGTGTGTGTGTGTGTGTGTGTATGTGTGTGTCTGGTCAAATTAAAATAAATGAATAAATAAAAAAAAAAAAAACATCTTACAAGTCAACGGTAAAAAAAAATTTAAAAAGAGCAAAATATGTGAAAAGATATTTCTCCAAAGATATGCAAATGTTCAGCAAGTAAACAAAAAATGCTCAACATCATTAGTCACTGGGGAAATACAAATCAAAATCATAAGGAGATACTATCTCATACCCACTAGAATGGCTAAAATCAAAAACACAAAATAATAAGTATCACAAGTGTTGGCAAGGAAGTGAAGAAACTGAAACAATGGGTCAGTCAGTGGCATGGTGCTTAAGGCGGCTGAACCCCACTTAGTAGAATACATACATAGGCTGAGTTCTAGACCCAATGGCTTGGGAAACACACCAGGCACATGTGCATGCTTTGCCCTCTTGAAAGGAGGGAGAAATGGAGGAGAAGGGATTGCACTGTGACCACAGTCCATGGGAGAATCTTCTAACTTTCTCTCTCTCTTCATCAAATGCAAACCCACTCTGGAATTTTTTTTTAAAAAAAGACATAAAACTACTAGAAGAAAACATACAGAGAATGCTTGGCAACACTGGTCTGAGGAAAGAGTTTTTGAATAAAATCTCAAAATCATAAGAAGCAAAAACAGAAAAACATAATTATAACAAACTAAAATCTTCTGTACCACAAAGGAATCAACAGAGTGAAGAGACAACATACAGAATTCGAGGAAATAACTGCAAACTACATCCAACAAGGATTAAAAACCAGAACGTACAAAGAACCCAAACAACTCATTAGCACAAAAACAAATAACCTGATTTTTAAAATGGGCAAATTACCTGAATAGAAACTTCTCAAAAGAGGACAAATGGCCAACAAAAATATTAAAAAAAAAAAAGTTCACCGTCACTAATCATGAGGAAAATGCAAATTAAAACCACAATAAGATATCACCTTACTCCATTCAACACAACTATCATCAAAAGAAAAAATAATCAATGCTAACAAAGATGCAGAGAACAAGGCACTCTTTTATATTGTTGGTGAGAATGTAATTATTACAGCCCTTAAGAAAAACTGTATGAAAATCTTTAAAAAAACTAAAAATAAAAAAAAACTGCCACATGATCCTCAAATCCACTAGACATAAACCCAAACAAAAGGAAGTCAGTATATCATAAAGATACATGCCCCCATGTTTACTACAGCACTATTTTTAATAGCCAAGATATAAAAACAACCTAAACTGATCAACAAATGAATAAAGAAAATGTTGAATATATATACAATCGAATGCTATTCAGCCATTAAAAAATAAAATCCTGTCATCTTAGACAACATCAGTAAGCTGGAGGACATTATGTTAAGTGAAATAAGTCAGGCACTGAAAGAGAAAAAAATACTGCATGCTCTTACTCATGGGCCGGGGGTGTCTTCAAAGTTTATGGATAATTCACATGTAAAAACTGTGCATGAGGAGCCAGCACATGGCATGGTGGTTACGAGACTGGACTTCCACATGGCAGACCATGATTCAAGTTCCAGACCAGGCAGCTTGAAAATCACATACGGCATGTGTGTGGTGTACCCAAACTCCTGAGAGGAGAACACCCAAACGCCACAGGTGAGAATCATCAAAAGACTGCTGCATGGAATTATTTTTTACAAATAATGTTTTTGAAAAATCTTTCTTGATCATACAATTCAAATGTATTACTTCGGTGATTCCTGGACTCTCTATTTTTATTATTCAAAAACTTCATGATAGGCCCAATCACGGTGTCATGCACTGCAAAGATACATGGGAGTCCTGGGTTCCCAGTCCAATCTAAAGGATTACAGTGACACAGTCCTGTAATCCCAGTGACTTGGCAAACTGAGGCAGGAGCATCACAAACTCAAGACTGAACTGGGCAATACAGCAAGACCCTATCTAAAAAGAACCACATGTGGTAGTGCATCCCTGTAGTCCCAGCAACCTAGAAGTCTGAGGCAAAAGGACTGCAATACAGCAAGACCCTTTCTAGAAAAACAAAAATTTAAATAAAAAAAAAGTTCATGATAAACACAAATCTCTCTAAAGAAAATTATTTTTAATACTTTGTTAAAATAATCACATGAAAACTAATTTTTTAAAATAAGAATAAGTAACAAGGGCACTCCCTGAACTCAGAAAGCAAATGTCTGAGGTTGTAATCCCAAATTTATTTTAAAAATCTGATCTCCTGATAGTTATAAAAAAGCAGGTAACAAAACTCAAAGTACTTATTTAGACAGAAAATTGGGCTGAATAGTACCTTAAACAACACAACGATATCAGATAAATACTATTTAGTCTAAAACACTGGATATTTCTGATTATTTTAATACATTATTTATATTAGATTCCCCAAAGGCAAAACTAAAATCTACATTATTATTACCTTATCTTTGGCCTCAGGCAGTGTGATTTCTCTAGGTTCTAAAAATGGTATTTCTCGAAAAGGTGGAACACATCTGACTATATCTGGTACATAGTGTGTATGAAACAATGGCGGCATTGAGTATCTTCGTTCACCTGATAAAGGCACTATCTGGTTAACTACAGTTGGCTCTTGGTGGGGTGAATGGAAACGTTGCCGTTTACCGTCAAGAGGAAGGTTTTTTTCATCGCTTAATCTCCTGAAAACAAGCAATATACCTTAGTGATAAAAGATATAACTTTCTGAAAACAAACAGGAAACAATTCAAAACATATGATTATCAAAACAGATGACAATTTTCAATAAGGCCACATTTTTAGCTCTAATGAGTCTTAAAAATATTCACTTTTAGCGTAAGTAATGCCTCTTAACACCTTGGGAAAAAGGAGTATTAATAATGCATATAGAAAAAACTAACCATACGTTGGGGTTCTAGCCTTCTGCATTTGAACCACCCTGTTTCATCTTGCCAGTGACAACTTTGTAGAAAAGTTTCTATTTATAGAATCACTAAGAACAAAAGACCCAAACTTTAGCATAAAAAGGATAAGACTGGGGCAGGCAGGTGGCGTGGCAGTTAAGGGTGCTTACTCCCACATGGATAACCATGGTTCAAGTCCCAGACCTAGCGACTTGCTTTCTCACTTTCTCTCCCTCTCTCATTCTGTCCCTCTCCAGTCAAATTAAGATAAATAAGTTAAATAAAATAATTCTTTTTTTAAAAAAAGGTAAGATTGGGACCAGCAGTTAGCATAATGGCTATGTGGCTGGACTCCCACATAGTTGACTGTGGTACACGTCCCGGACCCGGTGGCTTAAAACTCACGCCGGGCGCATGTGCATGTGTGCCCAAGATCCCAAGAGGAGAACGGAGGAGAAGGGATTGCGATATGGCCATCCCCCCTGGGGGGTGATTTCTTGCTTTCTGTCTCTCTGTCTCTCTCTGTCTGTCTGGCGAGCGTACGCGCCCTATAGCAAAAACCTCTCTGAAAAAAAAAAAAAAAAAATAGATTAAGTGAGCTGTGTACTATCTATAAAAAAGGGCTCTTTGGACACATGTTCTAGCTCATCAATAAGAAAGACCAAATTAAGAGATACTGCTTTAAAAAGCTACACAAACACTGGACGTTTTGAGGAAATTTGAAAATAAACCGCATTTCAGAATACAGTATTGTATGACTATCAAATTCTTGGGCATGATCAAGGTATTTTGGTTATGCAGGAAAATATCTTTGTTTCTAAGTAAAAGTAATTTAGAGGTCTATGTGTAGAATATCTTCTAATGAAAAAGTCAATTTTAGATTCAAATATATGTAAAATATTAATTAATGGAACTTATTTTCATTTATGATTCACAAATTGCCTATCAAGGCAATTTCTAAAAATAAAAATCTGAAGGAAAAAAAAAAATCAACACTTTTAGATTTGTTATATAAACTTACCCAAAGATAACTTTGAAGAACATACAGTGCTTTTAAACATAGGATCTAGAGGCACACTGCTAGATTTCGAATCTCAGCTATGCTACTTCTAACTGAATTATTTACTTAAGCTCTGTATGCTTCAGCTCCTCAACAGAAGAGGGATAACAGTATCTGCCTCATTAAGCACTGTGAGACTTAATCAAATCATTACTTATAAAGCCCTTAGAACAATATCTACTACATAGTGATTAATAATTTTTAGCTAATGTTATTTTTAACACACTTAAGAGTTATGCAACATTTATGTTTTTAAGTAGCAGCAGTATCTTACAAATATCAACAAATGTTATTTTAATAATCATCTCTCAATTTCTAGTATAATTATTTTGTGACACATGAATTTCTCTTAATTAAATAAGTTAAAATTAATTGGCTCCTGACTTGATTGTAGAAAGTTTTGTATGATATAGAAATTTTCACTATATTTATCATGAAAACTTACGTGTATATGGATTTAGATAAATCAAAAGAAAACCACATAGTATACTTTATTACAAAGAGGAAAAACACAAAGAAATGACAATATGACAGAACATCAAGAAGGTGTCTTCCAGACCAGCAGTTGGCGTAATGACTACGTCGCTGGATTCCCATACAGTCGACCCAGTTCAAGTCCCAGGCCCGGTGGCTTAAACTCACGCCAGGAGTGTGTGCACGTATGCGCGTGTGTTCGTGTGCCCAAGATGCCGAGAGGAGAATGAAGGAGAAGGGATTGCAGCATGCCCCTCCCCCCAGGGGGTGATTTCTCACTTTCTGTCTCTGTCTCTGTCTCTCTCTCTCTTTCTGGCAACGCATGCACCCTATAGCAAAAACCTCCCCCCAAAAATTAATTAATTAATTAATTTTAAATAAAGAAGGTATCTTCCACAAGCCAAGGAGGCCTCTGAAGAAATCAGCTCTGTTGACACTTGGACCTTGGACTCACAGTCTCTAGAATTATGAGAAAATTCATTTTCATTGTTTAAGTCACCCAGTCTGTTGGTACTTTATTGTGGCAATCCTAGCACATAAATACAAAAGGTCATCTGACTTAGTAAATAACATTAATTAAAATGTTATCTAAAGAAATGTAGATTATTCCATCCAAAACTTATGATAATGACAGGAATAAACAAAAGAATCTTTGAAACTTTTTAAATTTTTAAAATAATTTTACTGTAAGGCATATGTGCTTGCCAGAGAGACAGCAAGAGAGAGGGAAGGTGAGAAAGCACCCCCTCAGAGGGATAGCCACATCACAATCCTCTCTCCTTCATTCTCCTCTAGGGATTCTGGGCACACACATAAATGCACCTGGCATTTCCCAAACTGCCAGATATGGGACTCAAACCACACAGTCAGCCACGTGGGATCCAGTCATCCCAACCACCATGCCACTAGCTAGCCCATTGTGAAAATTTTTAAAAACATCAATTTTTAAAATTCCATGACCAATCTGATTCACAGAGGCCCAAAAACAAAATTTAAGACAGAATGCCCATACAGTTTCAATAAAAGATATACTGTTTACATTTCTCAGAAATGCAAATATTTCTTTTAAAATAATTAAGCGAGAAGTACTTACTTCCTTCCTCGAAATAATGGGGAAGTTGAGGTCTGTATTGGACTGACATTTCCATATGTCAGCTGCTGTAATGACACAGCTCTAGACAAGCTACCAAAAACAAAGAAAGAACAGTAGTAACATATATTTTTTTCTTAAAAAACAAAAAACAATTTCAGAAAAACTAAACACTGAACAAAAGAAAATAAGAACTAATGACATTTTCTCTTCCTTCAAACATTTCATACAAAAATAGTTTATGTCAAATAGAAAAAGAAATGTATCAATGATATGGGCCAGAATATCAGCATACTTACTCTGCATTCTGAAAGTTGAACTGCGCATCTATAAGCTGCTGGTGTGAATAAAGAGTTGGTGACAGAGCGAAGAAGTTATTATGTTGTTGATGGGTTGGAGTGAAGGGCGGGCGACCCAAAATTGAGTTTGGGAACATGCTCTTGTTCACTGAAAGTGAACATGTATTCGTCTACCTAGAATAATTTAAAAAGACAATACTATATGATTACAGCTCAAGGATACTGAACTCTTTGATACCTATTATCTGCTATTTAAAACAATTAGCTACTAAATTATAAATTTCATTTGAAAAGTTATTCTTAAAAGTTTAAGTAGGTTGGGAACCAGCAGTTAGCGTAATGGCTATGTCGCTGGACTCCCACGTAGTCGACCGCGGTTCGTGTCCCGGACCTGGTGGCTTAAAACTCACGCGGGGCGCGTGTGCGTGC